CTGGAACAAGGCTGTGAGCATGCTCGTCAATCCACCAATTCATTTATCTACTTATTGAACAACCCATTCAATAAATGCTGAGCAATGGGGATATAAAGATAAAAGGCATAGATAGATAGTTCTTGCCTTCCAGAAGTGTACAGTCGAGTGAGGACTAGATGGATAATGATGGTATGGATGAAAAATTCCATGAGAGGCAGTACCTCGGGAAACACAGAAAAGGGGACCCTCAGATTTCAAGAGTGGGTCAGGGAGATTGAAAATGAAGTTCCTTGGCTAAAATGAGATGATTGCTGAATTGAATATTTTCCATCTCTTCCTTCTTTTCTCTTGAACCAAGTCATGTGTATTAATCAGGTGAAGGAGAGAAGGGTTCTGGCAGTTGGAAAACGATGCAGAACTAAGGAGGTATATTAGAGAGCTTGGCATATTTGAGGAACTTCAGGTGCTGAGATTTTTTTGTGTGTGTGACATAGCACAGTCCTGATGAACAGCCACAAGTGAGATAATGACCCCTCTAAAACACGTCAAGAAGAAGAATGACAGACTCCCACGTTAGACTGCAATGGTCAGATCATACTTTTACAATGAGTGTGTCTGTGAGATTCCAGACAATATCTTACAGGAGCCCTGAGATGTACCCCAGGGAGGAGAGAGACTCAGATAGCAGTCTGGCCTGAGAAGACTTGTCTTGGCTTCAGGGAGGTTGCATTCTGAACCCTGTTCCTTTACTCAAAAGACAGGGTGATCTTTGGCAAGTGACATGACACCTCCAAGCTGGTGTGCTCATGCATAAAGATGGTTATAATACTGCTGCCTGGCCTTTGATGTGAGAATTAAATTACATAATTTATTAATATGTGAAAGAACCTAATGTAGTAGATACCTGACAAATGTTAGGTTTTCTTTTCTTTGGTCCTTTCTCTTGCTTTTATCCTTCTTTTTTATCTTCTCATCCTCTCTTTTTCATGAGTCATCCTTTGGTTAAGTAAGTAATACATGTGGAGCATCCTCCAAGGATCTATGCTGTCCATTACAGTAGCCACTCCCCACATGTGGCTATGGAATATTTGACATGTGGCTGGTCCTAACGGAGATATGCTAGAAGTGTTAAACACAGTCATGTATGACTTCCAACAAGGAAAAAGGAATGTAAGCTATTTAATAAATAATATTTTTATAGGTCACATGTTTAACTTTCATGTATATTTGGTTAAATAAAGTATGAAATTAAAATTAATTTCACCTGTTTCTCCTTATTGTTAAAAATTTGCCCTATATTTTATTTATTTATTTATTTATTTTTGCAATATTTTGGCATATTATTCTTTATTACTTTATTTTATTTTGTTTTTTTAATTTATTTTTTATTGATTGTGCCATCACAGTTGTCCCATTTCCCCCCTTCATTCCCCTCCACCCTACCCCCTGTCCCCACCATTACCCCCCTTTAGTTTATGACCATGTGTCTCAAGTTCTTTAGATTCTATATTTCCCATACAATTCTTGCCCCCCCCATCAATTTTCTATCTACTGTCTATGCTACTTATTCTCTGTACCTTCTCCCTCCTTCTCCTTCTCCCACTCCCCTGTTGCTAACCCTCCATGTGATCTTCATTTCTATGTTTCTGCTCCTGATCTAGCTGTCCTTTTAGTTTGCCTTTGTTTTAGGTGTGGTTGTTAATAACTGTGAGTTTGCTGTCCTTTCACTGTTTATGTTTTTTTAACTTCTTTTTCTTAGGTAAGTCCCTTTAACATTTCATATAATAAGGGCTTGGTGATGATGAACTCCCTGAATTTGATCTTATCTGAGAAGCACTTTATCTGTCCTTCCATTCTAAATGAAAGTTTTGCTGGATAGAGCAATCTTGGTTGTAGGTCTTTGGATTTCATGACTTGGAATACCTCTTTCCAGCCCCTTCTTGCCTGTAAGGTCTCTTTTGAGAAATGCTCTGACAGTCTGATGGGGACTACTTGTAGGTGACTGTCCACTTATCTCTTGCTGCTTCTAGGATTCTCTCCTTCATTTTAATCTTGGCTAATGTAATGATGATGTGCCTTGGTGTGTTTCTTCTTGGGTCCAACTTCTTTGGGACTCTCTGAGCTTCCTGGATTTCCTGGAAGTCTATTTCCTTTGCCAGATTGGGGAAATTCTCCTTTATTATTTGTTCAAATAAGTTTTCCACTGGTGGCTGTTCCTTTCCCCCTTCTGGTACCCCTATAATTCGGATGTTGGAGCGTTTAAAGATGTCCTGGAGGTTCCTAAGACTCTCCTCATTTTTTTTGAATTCTTGCTTCTTGACTCTTTTCTGTTTGGCCATTATTTGCTTTCTTCTGGTCCACTCCATCGATTTGAGTCCCAGTTTCCTTTTCATCGCTATTGGTGTCCTGTGCAATTCCATTCATTTCAATTAGTTTCGCCTTCATATGTTTGTCTAATTTGTGGGTATAATCAGCCAGTTCTGTGAGGATCCTGATCACCAGTGTTTTAAACTGTGTGTCTGAGAGTTGTGCTATTTCTTCATCGCTTAGATTTATAGGCTCTGAGGCTTTGAGATCTTCTTGAGCCATTTTTGGTCTGTTCTCGCCTTTAAGTATGAGGAGTGGAGCCTTGGACTCTCAGGTCGCTGGGTTATGACACTGTATGTGGAGGCAGGGTCAGAGCGGGGGAAATGGCGGCCTCCTCTGCTGTTTCTTGAAGCTGGGTGAGGAGCAGAGCCTTAGGTGGTTCACCAGGGCGGGGCTACTCAGGTCGCTGGGTTATCACGATGTATGTGGAGGCGGGGTCAGAGCGGGGAAATGGCAGCGCCCTGTGCTGCCGCTTGCCGTGGGGCCTGCTCTGTCCCAGAGTCTCACCTCCCACTCCCTCACTTGTCTATCTGCGCAGGAAAGCGCGACCACAGTCAACCCACAGCTCTGCTCCCTCGCTGTTTCCCCGAGGTCGCTGGCTGAGTCGCTTACTAGGTCCAACCCTGTGCCTGGGTTCCGTGCGCCCGAGTCCGTCTGACCGAGTTTTTCTGTGCAACCCTGCTCTGACAGCTGCTGGTTTCGCCCCTCTTACCGGTCAGGCTCAAGAATTTGTTGTTATCAGACTTCCGAAAAGTTCAATTTTCTGTGTTCTGGCTGTGTTTTCTGTTGCTAATATTTAGTTGTTTCTAAACTTGGTTATGAGAAAAGGCACAGCATCTCCACCTATGCCTCCATCTTGGTGGAAGTCCTCCTATATTTTATTTCTGTGGAACATCACTGTGCTGGCTTTTGGGGACTCAGTGGTGAAAGGAAAAACTGACTATGTGGAGTTTAGTGGGGGAATATAGAATACCACAACTGACAATAAAACAGCAAAAAGAAATTAAAAAAACAAATATAAAGTCCACATTGTAGTATATACTACAAAGAAACATTTCTATGGGGAGGAAAACTTGGGGACCTAATTCAGACCGATGGCCACAGAGGCCTCTTTGATGTCGTGCTGGGCCTGCAGGGAGACCTTCCCTGTGGAGAGTTTCCAGGCAAAAGCAGGAATGGAACATTCTGGGCAGCGGGTACAGACTGCCAGTCAGTGTTTGTTGCGTCTCCCAAACTCCAGGGCACTGCAGAGAAGCCCTGGGGCTGCCAGACGCGAGAAGGTCCCCAGACTCCTTGGAGCTTGTGGTCTGGTGTGGAGACAGAAGAGGCAGGCCCAGCAGTGTGCAGGGCTGGGGTGACTACTGGCTCTGAGAGTGTCTTTCCTCCTCTTCCCTTCCCCTCAGACCCTCACGGACCAGTCCTGACAGCGCAGGGCCCCAGGGCCCGGCAGTTCTTCCTGCATGTGGGGAATGCTCACATTTGTCCCTTTGCCCTGTTCCCATTACTCTGTTTTGGCAGTTGCCTCCTAACCAGTTTCCTTGCCTCCGGTGTCTTGCTTCCTTTAATATCTTCTGTGCACAGCTGCCAAATTAATCTTCCCGAGATACCATTGAGACCACATAAATTCCTTGCATTAAAGCTCTTACGAGCTTCCTGATACTGGCAGAGGGGCAGTTTGCCAGGAACTGTTGCACCTCTCCCCCTTTTCACCATTGTGACACGGTTCCTGGAGAAGCTCGGCCTGCAGCAGCACTGGCAACCTCTCCAGCTGGTGTTGAGTAGTCTTTGAAGCCATACCTCTAGCCTCCTTCCTGTATTTCCACTCCTGCCCAGCATTGTCTTTTGGGCCATGCATGCTTGAGTTCTCATTGTTCTTCAAACACCTGAATTGCCTGTCCACCAGGGAAGGTCAAGAGCATATTAGTAGGAGCATGGGTTCCAGAGTTAGCCAGACTAAGTTCAAACCCCAGCTCTGCCATTTCACTAGGTGTGAGAACCCTTTCAAAAGTTATCTTTTCTAAGCCTTCAGTTTCCTGAAAATAATACCAGTTTCTGTTAATAGAAACTTCATACCAGACCACAAGCTTCAGTTTCTGTTAATACCAAAAGGCTAGAAGTAATTTGTACCTCTTAGGGGTGGGCAGATAAGATGAGACACTGTAGGTAAAGCATTTGTAGGTGCTTAGTCCAAAGTAAGTTTTTAGTTCATGGGCATTGTTTAAATAAACGGTAAGTCTTGTGCTGATTAATAGAGATGCCTCCAGAAACCTCTGGCCCTGCTTTCATCTCACACCCCAAGTACCAGTTAGCAGCCTCCTTATAGCTGGTGATGGGCTGGGGTTCGACTTCTGTGTACTTTTGATGCTGGACAGAAATTCTGTCTGGGGACACTGAATGGTGGTATCAAGGAGCTAGACAGGACCTCGAGTCAATCCACTGCAGGACATCTGAGCTCCCTCAGAGTGTCCAAGTATCCAGAGGAGTTAGTTGAAAAACTCCCAACAGCCTTTGTGAGGCTAGTTACTGTTACTATTTTTTGCACAGCAGTCTCTAGTTGTTTTGTTTTTCCCACCAAATTTCAGTTATTGCTGAAATTTATCACTTGCTTGGGGCCACTCTTAATTAGATGTCTTTTTTCTTACTTCCATCAGTGAGGAACAGTGAAGAAGCTGGAAGCTGGGAATATAGGAGACTGAGGTCCAGTTGTGCCTCAGCTGTGAACCTTTCAGTGAGTAATAGCCTCACTTCTTCCTGTGTTCCTGACCATACTTCTTCAGGCTCTCCATAGACTTACCCAGATCATGGACTTTGGAGGGTTAAGTCGCACACAACTTGAAGATATTATTATTACCCAGTCTTTCTTCACCCCTTTTTTTTTTCTGAGACTTGGTGTAAGGCCCACTGTTAAATGAGCAGGCAACTCGAGATCTTTTCATAGGGAATGTTTTTTAAGATACTACTATAGATAGACTTAAGGCAAATTAAAGAACTCTGTTATTTTAAGTAGAACAAAAAAGAAGAAATTATCTCCCCAAACAGTTCTAGATTTTTGTTTTTGTTTATTGTAAGTTTTGTTTTTTGAAAAAAAAAGTTTCTTAGTTTTGGATTGTAACAGACTGCTGGCCACAACTCAAACAAATGAAGTTACAAAAAACACACTGTGCTTCAGGGTCCCCTAAGCAGGAAGATTTAAATGGAAAAAGGCTTTGGTTCAGGTTGACTTTTATATTTTTAGCCAAAGGCAGAGAGTGAATTAAGGTGGGTAGAATAATGTTTCTCAATTTTTTTTAGATTTCGACATAGAAATTCTATATCATCTGTTAAAGTTAGTATTTAAAATAGGTATTTTAAATGTATAAACACAATGAAAAATGATCATATACGTGCATATATATGTTTTGGGGCATTATCTGCTTCAGAAGTCACTGAAAAAGAGACTTTATCTTCTTGTTCTTTTTTGAAGATATAATATGCAGCAGGTCATCAACAAGAGAGGAATATAATACCTGGTCCAGAGTTAGAGCAGCATAAATACAGGGTGGGGCAAAAGTAGGTTTACTTGTTCCTATGGAAAATAATATGGTAATTAATAAATAATAATACAAGAATAAACTCTGTGTTTCAAGCACTCATAACTGTAAACCTACATTTGCCCCAACCTGTATTCGTAAAGTGAGAACAAATGAAAGTGAATAAAAAAGTAAGTTTTCAACAACTCATTTATGGAGATCAAAATATCTATAAATTACCACATTTTTTTGGACTGTAAGACATGCTGCCTCCACTCCCAGTTTGGGAGGAAAAGGGGGGTGCATCTTATAGTCCGAATGTAGATTACCTGGCTTGCTGTGGGGGGGGTGGTGGCTGCCTATGTTATTATTTTTTTAATATATTTTATTGATTATGCCATCACAGTTGTCCCATTTCCCCCCCTTCATTCTCCTCCACCCTGCACACCCCTCCCCCACCATTCCCCCATTTAGTTTAATGTCCATGTGTGACAAGTTCTTTAGATTCTATATTTCCCCTACTATTCTTGCCCTCCCCCCTGTGTATTTTCTATCTACCATCTATGCTACTTATTCTTTGTACCTTCTCCCCCCTTCTCCTTCTCCTACTCCCCTGTTGCTAACCCTCCATGTGATCTCCATTTCTATGGTTCTGCTCCTGATCTAGCTGTCCTTTTAGTTTGCTTTTGTTTTATGTATGGTTGTTAATAACTGTGAGCTTGCTGTCCTTTCACTGTTCATCTTTTTTATCTTCTTTTTCTCAGGTAAGTCCCTTTAACATTTCATATAGTAAGGGCTTGGTGATGATGAACTCCTTGAATTTGATCTTATCTGAGAAGCACTTAATCTGTCCTTCCATTCTAAATGAAAGTTTTGCTGGATAGCTCAATCTTGGATGTAGGTCTTTGGATTTCATGACTTGGAATACTTCTTTCCAGCCCCTTCTTGCCTGTAAGGTCTCTTTTGAGAAATCCACTGACAGTCTGATGGGGACTCCTTTGTAGGTGACTGTCCCCTTATCTCTTGCTGCTTCTAGGATTTTCTCCTTCATTTTAATCTTGGCTAATGTAATTATAATATGCCTTGGTGTGTTGCTTCTTGGATCCACCTTCTTTGGGACTCTCTGAGCTTCCTAGATTTCCTGGAAGTCTATTTCCTTTGCCAGATTGGGGAAGTTCTCCTTTATTATTTGTTCAAATAAGTTTTCCACTTGTGGCTGCTCCCCTTCCCCTTCTGGTACCCCTATAATTTGGTTGTTGGAATGTTTAAAGATGTCTTGGAAGTTCCTAAGACTCTCCTCATTTTTTTGAATTTTTGTTTCTTCATTCTTTTCTGTTCGATTGTTTCTTTCTTCCTTCTGGTCCACTCCCTTGATTTGAGTTTCAGTTTCCTTCCCATCACTATTGGTTCCCTGTGCATTTTGTTTCATTTCACTTAGTTTAGCCTTGATTTGTTCCTCTAATTTGTGACTAAAATCAACCAGTTCTGTGAGCATCCTGATCACCAGTGTTTTGAACTGTGCATCTGATAGGCTGGCTATCTCTTGGTTGCTTAGAAGTATTGGCTCTGGGTTTTTGAGCTGTTCTTCTTGAGCCATAATGTTTTGGTCTGTTCTTGCCTGTTAAGTATAAGGGGTGGAGCCTTAGGTGTTCACCAGGAAAGGGCGACCCAGTTGCTGGGTTGTGATGCTGTATATGGGGGTGGGGTCAGAGAGGGGCAGTGGCGTTTGTTCTGCTCTCTCTCAGATTTCAATCCGTATGCTGCTTCCCACAAGCAAATTGGGCCCTTCTGGTGCTGGGTCCTTGGTGTGTGGGCTTGTGCACCTTCCAGGACCCTGTGGGTCTCTCCAACAAACTCTCTGTGAGCCAGGGAGCTTCTCCTGGTACCTCGACCCTGAAAATTTTTCCAAGTGGTGCTTTTAGGCTTTATTTCCTGGTGCCAGGGCCCTAGCCTGTGAGGTTTGTCTCACTGTTCACTCCTCTCCCTGGTTTATCTGTGCACGAATGTGTGGCCGTGGTCAGCCAGCCACCTTGTGCCCTCACTGGGTCTGCCCATTGCCACCCCACACCTGGGATCCTTCAACTGCTGCCTTTGTGCCTGGGTCGGTCTCACCGATCTGTCCTGCCCGACCCTGCTTCACCAGCTGCTGACTCTGCCCCTCTTACCTGTCTGGCTGAATGATTCATTGTTGGACTTCCATACACTTCAATTTTCTGTGTTTTGGTTGCATTTTTGTTACTAAAACTTTGCTGTCTTTAAATTTGGTTGTGCGCAGAGGCACAATATTTTCACTTACACCTCCATCTTGGCCGAAAGTCTTTTTTTTTTTTTTTTTTAGTATTTATTTATTTATTTATTTAGAAAGAGGGGAAGGGAAGGAGGAAGGGAGAGAAACAATGTGTGGTTGCCTCTTGCGCTCCCCCTACTGGGGACCTGTCCTGCAACCCAGGCATGTGCCCTCACTTGTCTGTGTTATTTATGACATTAAATATTTTACTACATTTTTTGCTTCAATTTTTTTTTCTATTTCCCTCCTCTGAAACCTAGGTGTGTCTTTGGTCTGGTGTGTCTTACAGTCCAAAAATTCGGTACTCTGAAAAACATCTAAATTACTGTAGTTTTAAAGATTTAAAAGCTAGGCCTGAAACAATAGAATTTCTATGGGAAAACAGGTAGTAAACTTTTTGACATTGTTTTCAGCAATATCTTTGTGGCTACATTTCTTCAAACAAGGGAAGCAAAACAAACAGGTGGGACTAAATCAAACTAAAAAATTTTTGCACAGTGAAGGAAATCAACAAAATGAAGAAAACCAACTGAACGGCAGAAGGTACTCACAAATGAAACATCCAATAAGGGGCTAGTATCCACAATATATAAATAACTCACACAACTTTATACCAAAAATATCAAACAACCCAATTGAAAAATGGGCAGAGGACTTGAATACACACTTCTCTCAAGAGGATACACAGGCAGCCAAAAGGCATATAAGAATGTTCAACATCACTAGTCACCAGGGAAATTAAAATGAAAACCACATGAGGTATCACTTCACATTTGTCAGAATGGCTATCATTAATAAATCAACAAATAATAAGTGCTGAAGAGGATAAGGAGAAAAGGGAACCTTTGTACACTTTTGGTGAGATTGTAGATTGGTGCAGCCACTGTAGGAAACAGTAAGGAGATTCCTCGAAAATTAAGAATAGAACTACCCAGCAGTTCCACTTCTGGGTATTCAACCAATGAAGACAAAAACACTAATTTGAAAAGATACACGCACCCCTATGTTCAATGCAGTATTACTAGTAATAATCAAAATAGGGAGGCAACCAAGATGACCATCAATAGATGAATGGATAAAGGAGATGTGGTATGGACCTAGAGGGTATTATGCTAAGTAAAATAAGTCAGACAGAGAAAGACAAATACTATATAATCTCATATGTGAAATCTAAGAAAAAAACAGAGTAAAATAAATAAACAAAACAAACAGACCCATAGATACAGAGAACAAGCTGATGATTGCCAAAGGGGAGAATGTGAAGGAATGGGAATAAGCAAGTTAAAAAACACAAATTTTTGCTCATGTGGAACTGATATCCTCATGGTGGGGTAGAGCACAGACAATACATGAAGCAGCAAAATATATAGTAGTGCAGAGGGTGGGAAGTACTGCGAAGTGTGGTCAGGGTGGAGGGACAGTTTGGGTTTTAAGTGTGGTAGTAAAATGAGGAGGGCCTCACTGGAAACTGACATCTAGAAAGCAAATTAAATAGTCCTGGCTGGGTAGCTCAGTCGGTTAGAGTGTCGTCCTGATATGCCAAGATTTTGGGTTTTGTTCCGAGTCAGAGTACGTACAAGAAACAAGGCAGATACAATCAATGAATGCATAAATAAGTGGAAACACAAACTAATGCTTCTCCTTCTGAAATTAATAAATAAAAAATTTTAAATATTAAGTGAATAAATAAATAAATAAATAAATAAATAATAAAGAAATAAAGAACTGTAGCATTTGACTATAGGAAAAGGAACAAAATACTAGCAGGAATTTAGAAGATGTCTTATATAATAGGTCCTCAATCTCCATTTGTTAAATCTGTTTAAAGAAACAAAATTAATATGGTGCCGGTCATACTTGACCACCTTCTTACTTTGGACCCCAAGCCTTTCCTCTCTTACGTTACTTGCCCAGAACCAATTTTCAGAAGAA